AAGCACCTTTGATAAAAGGTGCTTTGTATGAAGCGGTCACCATGTTAATACGGCAGGAAGATATGATTATTTCCATTCCAGACTACCTCTTCAGATTAAGAAATTACGATCTTGCAGACTATTTTTCTTGTAATAGGTTTTCTCTCTATGCAAGCCTACAATAACCCAGAATTTGGGTGAAATGATAACATAGATCTGTAAAGGAATTACTCTTTTTTTTTTTTTTTTGTATCAAAATTCATCTTATAAAACACAATTTGATTAACACACAGGTATTGTATACCCCTAACCAAGCCTTGTTAAAGTGTTACACAGAAAAATCAGTCTGTATATGCAGTAAAACATGCTTATTATACTCACTGTAGAACCTAAGGGGCTAATCCTCCACATTGTGTGAAAAGGATGTTTGATCCTTCTTCTCTGATCCTCCCTTCTTTTCATGTTCCCAATCCATCTCTTGATAGAGCAGAGCCTTGGGGGCAAACTGCACATGCTCAGTTTGGTGTGTATTGCTAGATAGGTTTTTTTTTTTTCCTTCGGAGGGTGTAGGTGATCAGCACAGGGCCAATCAGTGCTGTCCAGACAGAGTATCAGGGGTCCTTCAGGATCATAGGACAATCAGGGGAGAATGAAAAATACCTACAAGCTTTAACCAGTGCTCTGCTGGACCCTGATAGAAGTCACAAGACTGCTGTAACTGCTGATGAGAAAAGGTACTGTATTTAGCAGTTTATATTTACTAACATAATTGCACTGCCATGTTCTGTGTATTGTGGGAGACCAGATATAGTGAATGCAGAGTCTTGGATTTAGTTACACTTTAATGGCAGGATCTCAAGTTTAGGAACTTTGAAATGAATAAAAAAAATACTTGATAAAACTGTACACTGTAAAGCATAATGCTGAACATGCTGAAAAATAGATTGAGTTTTTATACACTTTAAGTGATCAAATCTCAGAAAAGGTAGAACTGTGATTTTTTTTTTCAGATTGGTGAGTTATTACATTTCACTTCTCTTTGCATTTTGTTATGAAATAAACCAAGAGGTAAATGTTTATGAACGCCAACACATAAACTGTTTATAGTAATGCATGCACTGCACAATACTAGCCTTATCCGCTATTGCAATGATTCGCTAATTTTAGTAACCCTTGACATCCACATTAGTTATCTGTTTAAAGTAAACATATCACCTAGTTTCTATGGGCTACTAATTTAGTAACCTATAGAGTTTCAGTATGCTGTACAGTACCGTGTGTTTGTTTACACCCAGCATAAACAATTTGTAGCTGCTTATTTGAATTTACAGGCATTTTTATTCTGGATTCTCTCTAAATCACAACTAAATTTTGTTTATGAAAAGTGATGGATTAATATTGAATATATTTGGTATACACAGAATCTAGTAAGAGATCAGCTTCTAACTTCAGCTTGTTCAATTAAGCGTTGACCAAAAAAAAACCTAGAAACTGATTGGTTACTATATACATCTGTACCAGATGCTGTGTGCGCAAGTTTTAGTAAATCTTCCTCTATGTGTCCAAACGTTTGTAGACACTTTCCTGTCACAGCTATGTGAGCTCGTTGGAAACTCCACATTTCTGGGAAGACTTTCCTCAAGATTTTGGAGTGTGTTTGTGAGACTTTGTGCATATTCAGACAAAAAACTGTTTGTGAGCTCTGTTGTAAGGACTATGTTAGGTAGTGTTTTTTGGCAACTCTCTCACTGGTAGTTGTTCCTGCCTGTCAGGAAAGAGAGTTGGCCTCTGCAGAAGTTTAAAAAGGATTCTGGACTAATTATGTGGGTGTGTCAAGGGAAGAATGAGAAAAGGAAAAAACTGTCAATTTTTCTTTTTTCCAGTCAGCAAGAGAAAGAACAGTGGAGAGGTTAGCATGATTCTTACCCCCATCTTGGGGAATACAGCCAGTTATCATGGTTCCCTGGGAATTTTGGTATTTATGCTCCTCAGAGGCAGAGTGGTTGTGATAAAGGGGAACCCTTTACATTCTTAGCTGTTAATGAAGTGTGTACCTGGAACATGGTATATATTTCTAACTCTCATCCTATTGTTAAGGTTTTTTTTTTTTTTTTTTTTTAATACTGCAAACAGTCATGTCTGGGCATTCTGTTGTTCCCTCAGCAACAAGTGTGGGACAAAGGGAATGGGGCAAGGAACCAGGAGTGTAGCTTGGAATATGTAACTGTTGGGTATGTGAAATGCGAATAAATGGATTTTCAGTGGGACTTGAGAAAACCATAGGTGTGATCTTCTGTATCCAAATGAGCAACTTGTGCTAATGTTTTGTGTGTCCAAATGGGACTTGAAGTGCAATTCAAAAGGAGTCCTCTGTGTTCAGAGATTGATTTGGAGAGGTGGTGGTGTCCCTTGTGTCTGTGCAAAAGAGAATGTGCACTTGTGTTCTATGCAAGGCCTCTGTACTATGCTCATGGGAAAAGCCATGTCCAGAATTGTCATTGGAGTGCCCATTTTACAAGTTACCAATGTTGGATAAAAATACTTGGCAGTCCAGTTCATCCTAAAGGTGCTCAGTAGGTTTGAGATCAGGGCCATGTACAGGTCACCCTATGTCAAAGTTTTCAAACCGTATCTTAATGGACTTGGCATTGTGCACAGGGGTTCAGTCATGCTGGAACATGAATGCATTCCCCAAACTGTTACTATAAGGTTAAAAGCACAGGATAGCATTAACGCTTCCTTGGGTAGAAACACATGCACTCAATCATTTCAAGGGACATCCTAATACTTTTGTCATATATAGAGTAATAGTAATACACATCATGACTGCACCACAGAACATAGTAAATTTTGAAAGGACACAAAAATCTTATTAAAATGTTAACTAATTTGAAAAAAAATATATATATTTTTTATTTCAGAAAATGGGCACAGCTGAATCATGTAAAACTGATGGATCTCTATTTGTCTCAGTATCTGACATTTGCTGCATTTGTCTTTGTCAAATTTGCGGCTTTGATATGTCTACAGTAGCAATGAGCTCTGAAAATTATTTTCTAATTGAAAGAGGACAACCTCTTAGCAATTAATATAAATTAGTCATATATTGTATGCTGTACCAGTTATTGCAGCACCAAAAGTAACATGCCAATAAGCGTTTCATATTTGATCTCAACTCTAGCTGTTAGAGTTTCGCTGAATGGGTGAACCAAATATTCAAATTTGGCCTGTTCGCCGGAAGCCATTCTTTTAATGGCAGTATCTCTGCTGTCGCTAGAGAAATTACTTCTCAGACCACCTGCTGACTTTTTTTTTTTTTTCTTGCATTGGTACATGATCTTTATGGCAGTTCCCAACTACCCAATGCAAATTGGCCATGAAAAAGGTCATTAAAAATTCACAAGATTCAACTCAAATAGTGTTCAATGAGGTGCAGGTATAGCTATACTTGGGGTTAGCTAATTTTTTTTATTTGTTCAGCCAGTGAATCAAACTTCACTCATCACTAATGCCTATAGGAAATTTAGTACATCATGTACATGATATATTGTTAAACAGTAAAGTATTTTGAAATGGATACATTTTATCAGTTTTTCTTTTATACAGCATTTTAACTGTCTTTTTTGAAATGTTTACTATTGGCCAATGACTAGGCTAGCACATTATTATAACTGCAACTTCTTTTGGCATCTCAGTGTTAAGTAAATCTTTTCTCTAGGGAATCTCTGAAGAAAGCCTAAGACAGAGCTTAAAAGCTTAATAAGAGTTAAATTTTTTTCTACTGCCCTACAGCTTGTATAAATCTCATCCCAGAAAAGTTCAACTTAATGCATCAGCACTGCTCAGGCAATTCATCTTTATAGTAAATCAGATTTGATAATTCTCTGGGAATAAAATTCACAGTGTAAAACCTTTAACACATTAAAGCAGAACATTTATGACAGTACTTTTTCGTCTTCAACTTTTTTTATTGTATAGTTTGCCAGGGGCTGCTCCATGTTTCTCATAGGTATGGTAATAAAACCTAATCAGTGGGAATTCCACCCCTATTCAATCTCAACTGAACTGTCCATTAAATCTTCGCATGACAGATACACCTTCAGTGCATAGTATGCCCTGGGGAAATTACAGGATCTTTCATTTGGTTTCTCCATGGGTGTTGTATGTATAAAACATCTTAGAAGTATCGAAAAGTGACATTTTGGCCCAAATCAGCTTGAAAATTACTTGTGCCATGCTTCATTGATCTACTTGATTTGTCAGCTCCTCTGGTTTATTTTCTGATCAAGGTGGAAGAAAGATATGATAGAGTATTGGTCTGCAAGGATTTTACTGCAATACAGTATATACCGTGTGTGTATATATATATATACTATATATATAGATAGATATCTATGTATATATAAATATGTACGCACACACACACTGCTCAGCATAAATGAGTACACCCAACAGATTTGTCAGAAAACCTTTACTTTCCTTTCAGAAACAACATTTTCTATTGGACACTATACTACAAAATACTCCAACAAAAGCGGGCCATTGATTGCAAACAAGATTTGTTAATTTGCACACACAAAAAAAGTATTTTTCCTAACAATTTAATTCAAGACCATGTTGCAAAAATTAATACACCTAAATGAAAGAATTAGGAGCAAAGCTAGATTTTTGGCAACAAGATCCTAGTTAAGAAGAATTCAACTACAGGCGAGTCTAATTCATTAAACAGGTGTTCAGCAAGCAGCTGATTATAAAAGGGCGTTACTTAACAAAAAAACCCCTTCCAATTTCATGCTGTCAGCAATAGCACCTCATGAAAGAGAAATGTCACAAGGCCTGAGAAAGAAAATAATTTCTTTACACAAGAAAGGTGAAGGCTACAAGAAGATCAGCAAAGTTTTACTTATCAGTCAAAATATTGTAGCAAAAGTGATACAAAAATTTAACAAAGATGGAACTGCAACCATCTCACAGACATCCAGGCTGTCCACAGAAGTTAACACCTCAACAGGAGCGTCTTCTGATGAGAAGGGTTGAAGAAAATCACCATGCAAGTTCACTGCACTTAGCTAAAGAGGTAGAAAGCCAAACTGGGGTGATTGTTTCCCGTGACACAATATGGCGTACACTGCAGAGGAATGGCATGCGTGGTTGTCATCCACGAAGGAAGCCTCTCCTAAAGCCCAAGCACAAAATAGCCCACTTAGAATTTGCCACGGCCCATCCTGAAAAAGAAGGCGGCTACTGGTACTCTGGAGTGATGAGACCAAAATAAATGTTTTTGGAACTGATGGCTTCAAAACTGTATGGCGCCACATAGGTGAGGAGTACAAAGAAAAGTGCATGGTGCCTATAGTGAAACATGGTGGTGGCATTGTCCTTCTATGGGGCTGCATGAGTACTGCCGATGTTGGGGAGCTGCATTTCATTGCTGGTATCATGAATTCACAGATGTACTACTCTATACTGAAAGAGAAGATGCTACCATCACTCCATGCCCTTGGTCGTCATGCACTTTTCCAACATGACAATGATCCAAAACATACATCTAAGGCCACTGTTTCATTTCTGAAGAACAGGGTGAAAGTGATTCAGTGGTCAAGTATGTCTCCTGATCTGAACCCAATCAAACACCTATGGGGAATTCTAAAGAGACATGTTGAGCATCAACCTGCATCCAACAGGCTCTAAAAAGAGGTAATTCTTAAAGATTGGAAAAAGATAGATGTTGCAATATGTTGTCAACTTGTTCATTCTATGCCTAGAAGATTTGGTGCTGTCCTTACGAATCATGGAGATCATACAAAATACTAGATGGAGTCATTTTTGTTGTGGGGCATATTCATTTTTGCATCAACTAATTTGTGTAAAAACTGAAGATTGTGTAAACTAAGTTATATTATTAACCTTACTTTCATATAATGAGCTAAACAAATGTCCTATAAAACTCTGTTTTGTAAAAATTTTGGAAATTGTTCTTGTGTTCATTGAGATATTGATTAAAATTTTACTTTTTAAAAGGGATGTACTCATTTATGCTGAGCACTGTTTATACAGTGTGTGTGTGTGTGTGTATTTTTTATGAGCAGCATGTAAGCAATGTGAAAACATAACTGTGAAAATGGCTTTGTAGAATCCTTTTAAAGGGCATAGGGGCCTAAAATATATGTTGAATATGATATGTAAAATAAACCGGTTACATCCACAGATGTGTTTAAATGTATTCAGTTCTGTAAAGAAAATTAGATTTAAACTGCCTTGTGCAGATTAGTGGTTTATCTTATTAGCCATTTTAGGTTAAAGTAGGTGTGAAAAATGGCAACTAGGGATGCCATGCACTAGCACATATTCCAATCTCCTCAGGAATCACCATCATAGGAAATGAAATGCCACCAGATCACAAAATCTCTACATTCTTGGAGGTCTAGAAGCATTTTGTGAGTACTTTACCAATCTAGTCTGTGTGGAGGGGTCACGATCTGCTTTCACCTTGGTGCGGTGCCTCCTGCAGTTATTCCTCACTTGTTGCTGTAACATGAGTTAAAAATACTCATTTCAGGACAACAGAAATGAAAGATTTTTCCTCCTATGCGAGTGAAAGGGGACTCACCAACATTTCTGTGAGGGAAATGTCACTGCAGCTTTTTCCCTTATTCGGCCTTTAGACAAGAGCCCAGGGTCCCTTTCCCACTTTCTACTCCTTTCAGGCTATAAGTACACTAGACTCCTTGCAACATATGCACTCGGTGCAAGGAGCATTGTGCATCACCACAGAATTCTTTTCAGTTGGGATGGCACTGGATCCGATCAGCATCAGTGATGATTCTGATGGATTCACTATTAAGAGAACTAGACTTCAATCAAGGCAGCTTTCAGAAACTTGGCTTACGGAAACTCTTTCTCTCGCTCCTCTGTGTATGACTTCGGCTATCCTATCTAACTACGTCTGCTCTGATTCCCACCTGGTACCTGACCTTGGCTTGAACTGACTACCCAGTAAACATCTAAATCCCGGAAGGGCTTGCATACCACGCACAGGCGCCTCCCCTGTCTGCAGACCTATCTCCGTGCACCAGCTGTGCTTCTGAGTGGACCACCAACCAGCTCTCTTACAGGAGACCTGTGCAACTTTGGGCCTGACTCCCGCTGTCCCACTCTCCGGGGAGTCTGGAACTTAGCCGCAGGGGAAGCCCTCTCTCCATTGGCCTCCTTCACCAGGTACGTGATAGTATCATCCAGCCACTATGTCTGAGGCCAAGAGAGGCGCTTCCGCACTAGAGGCTCTGTACCAACAGATGACGGCACTTACCCAAGCAGTGAAGGATCTACAGCAAGGATACCTCCAGCTAGAAGGGCGTCTTCAGTCCCTCTCTTCTTCCGCAGACCAGGATCCCTATGCCAGTTCCAACCCAGTAGCCGCACCTGCCAGTCATCCTTCTGCCACCACTCCTGCTATAGTGTTACCACCTCCAGAACCCAGAGTTCCTACTCCTGAATGTTTTCTCAGTGATCAACGTAAGTTCAGAGCTTTCAAGAATGCCAGTGAATTTATATTTTGCTCTGCAACCCAGGACCTTTTCTCTGGAAGCAATCAATGTCGGGTTCATCATCTCCCTCTTGTCTGAAGAACCTCGGTCTTGGGCACATAGTCTTCTGGAACAAAAGAGCCCAGCACTCAATTCAGTGAGTGAATTCTTTGAAGCCATGGCTGCTCTCTACGACGATCCCCAGAGGACCTCCACTGCTGAGTCTGCCCTCCATGCTCTACTACAAGGTTGGCAGCCTGTGTAGGACTACATAGTGGAGTTCCGTAAATGGTCTGCAGACACCGGTTGGAACGATGCAGCAATGAAGTACCAGTTCCACCTAGGACTGTCCGAGTCCCTCAAGGACGAGTTAGCTAGGGTGGAAGCTCCCTCCTCCTTGGAGAACCTTATCCTGCTCGCTACTCCTTTGGATCGGCATCTACAGGAAAGACGCACTGAGCGTACTCAGACCTTTTGGTCCACTTGGGTTCTGACAAAAGGCCAACGGCTCCTGCCCTTGCCCCGTAAACCCATCAACATTTCGGAGGTAGAACCTATGCAAATCGGCCTTCTCCGACCTGCCCTAACTCCGGAAGAAAGGCTACGCAGACAGCAAAGCAGCCTCTGTCTTTACTGTGGGGCCACGGACCACTTCCTATGTAACTGCCCAGTACGACCAAGTAGGTCCAGCCAGCCCCATCCTTCGTACCTTCAGCTATCCGGGACTTTAACCACCCATGTCATTCTCCCCATGTCTATCAGGTGGCTGGAAGGGACGTCAAGTTGCTGGCAGTCGTTGCATCAGGAGCTTGTAGCTGTTTCTTAGACATCCAATTGGTCAAGGACTTACACATCCCCCTTCTGCCTAAGAAACAGAGACTTGACCTGTTCCGGACCTGTTACCCAGGAAACCATTCCTATTCTTGTAACCACCGACTCTGGCCATCAGGAGTTTATTCGTTTTGACGCGATTAGATTCCCCATGTTTTCAACCATCCTAGGAATACCCTGGTTGCAAACCCACAACCCACAGATCAATTGGCCTGAGAAGGAAATCATCTTTTATTCATAATGTTGTCTTCACCACTGTGGTGCCCCTGCTCTCACCAATTCTTCTGAAGGTGGAACTCTGTTTATCGTCCGCCTACCATCCCCAGAGTAACGAGCAAATGAACCAGACTTTGGAGCAATATTTATATTGAGTCAGAAATTGTATGGGCTCAAACAACCCATACTGGAAAGTGGGATACTTATTGTTATTAAGGCCTTACCCAAAGGGAAAACCCCGGGGGGCTGATGGCTTCTCAGCGGAATACTACCAGGAATTCCAATCCATCCTAGTGCCCCAGCTTAAGAGAATTTACGATGAAGCAGTGCTCAAATCCTTATTCCCATCTGAGATGTTAAAAGCTATTATAGTTACTTTGCCTAAACCAGGGAAAGCTCCGGATTTCCCCCAAAATTTTAGGCCAATCTCACTTTTAAACACAGACCTTAAAATATATGCTAAAATCTTAGCTAATTGTTTGTTAAATATAACTCCCCTTCTTATTCAGGCTGACCAGGTAGGGTTTGTAAAAGGTAGACAAGCCGCGGATGGTACTCGTAGAATACTCAACCTATTGCACTTAGTTGAGTCAAGGGGACTTCAAACTGTGTTCTTGGCGCTGGATGCTGAAAAGGCATTTGACAGGGTTCATTGGCAATATTTGGAGGCTACCCTAACCAAATTTGGGATCACTGGATTTATAAGGTCGGCCATTATGGCATTATATACTGTCCCCTCCGTGCAGGTATTCATGTCTAATGCCCTATCCGCTCCTTTTAATATCACCAACGGTATGAGACAGGGCTGCCCTTTATCTCCTATGATCTTTTTGCTGGTGATGGCACCCCTAGCGACTGAGATCAGAACCAACCCACGGATATCAGATGTCCAAGTAGCGTCCACCACGCATAAAATTGGACTGTTTGCGGACCATGTAATCCTTACTGTTACTGACCCGAATCAATCCCTCACAGAAATTTCAGCTTCCTTGCAGTTCTTTAGCGAAATATCCTATTATAAACTTAACATCATCAAATCCTGCGCCCTCCCATTTGCAATAATGAAAGGTCCCCTGTGTTTGCCTAAAGAAAAATTTCCCTATCAATGGTCCAATAAAAAATTAGACTATCTGGGTATTTGCATATCTGCCCCGTCCTCCCATACCTTCAAAAATAACTTTGAAAAACTACATCAATCCATCTTGATGGAGATGCAGAGGCTAGACAAATTCAAAATATCGTGGATAGGTAGAATAACTGCATTCAAGATGCTAATTTTTACCAAGAATTATTATTTATTCTTATTTACTCTCATTATTTCAGAATGATCCCAATTCTTATTCCCCGAGCCTATTTCCATAAATTAGAGGTGGCCATAAAAAGATTTATCTGGAAAGGGAAGAAACAGCGGATCCCCTTCCTGCCTCTCACCAAACACAAATCAAAAGGTGGATTGGGTCTGCCTGATTTATCTAGATATTATTATGCATCAATCTTAGACCAACTAACGGAATGGTTTGTCCCTACAGACAAATTATGGGGACACATAGAACAGAATGTGATCCCTAATAAAGACCTACGGGCTCTACTTCTAGCTAGATCAGTTTCTCCCAAAATTTTAACTACATATTTACCATTTATTACCGCAACTTTGGAAGCTTGGATAGCAGGCTGTAATTCATTGCCCGACTCCTCTCCCAAACTTCAAATTAACATCCCACTCTCTGCATATGAACACCTTATCCCAATCCTTAATACTAAACCATTAAGGGATCTAGTGTACAATACATATGTTGACATTGAACAACCTGTTCCGAACAAAGGATTGCACCCTTTTTTGCAGATCAGGGGATTTCATGGCGCTGGATTAAATATATGGATAGAGGTAGATTTCAAACTATGGCATACTATAATGAACCCTGTTCGAAAGAATAAAGGAATCTCCAAGTTTTATAAACTTACATTATGATCACGATCTCTCTTTGTTAAATAGCGTGAGTAGGTGTGAAAGAGATCTACAAAAATCCTTTACAAGAGATGAGTGGGAGAACGCTTTAAGTAGCAGTTTGAGTGTTACGAAGAGTACTAATCATTGGGATTGTTCCTTGAAGATATTGCACCGTAGCTAATTTACC